TCTCTCTCTCTCTCTCTCTCTCTCCCCCTACACCCCATGCTTACTAGAGAATAGTGACTTAAAATAATCTTCACTTTTATTCCAAACCGACAATTTGCTTTGTGTAGTTTAAAACCTTGTATCACAGATTGTTCTTTCAGAGATGTGGCATCTGGTAATGACAGGCATCAGTTTATATCCTTATATGGAGCCTTGATTCCTTCCAGCTATCTTGAAATGTTTGGAAAGGAAGCGGTGTGCTCTAGGGAAACATAAGGGCTAGGCTTCTGACAGTGATTATTTACCACTTCTAGGTCTAGCTTCTAGTTGTGTGCATGTGGGAGAACCTTCCTTGACTCACATGGAAAGATATGTATGTGCTCTATTTTTTCAGTTGCTCTAGGGCAGTCATAGCTCATACAGCCACTGTCAAAATAGCCCAGAATTGGGGTAGAGGGGATTAATAATTACAGTGTTACAGGAGAGGAGAGGGGCTCATCTCCCCCAGTTGCTGATGGGGGTGGTGTCCCTGGGGTACTGCTGGAATAAGCACTTCCGGAGGCCCCCACAGGAGGATGAGATGTGATAAAAAGCTTTATTTCTATGAGATCACACCCCTGGGTTTCCAAAGACCCATTTCCCTTAGTCCAGGCGTAGCAGAAGTGTAGCTGGGGCTTCAGGAGAGCTAAAATCAGAGCCATGTCCAGAGTTTTCTTTCCATGTTGGAGTAGGATCCAGTCCAGAAGCAGGCTAGCGTAGCTTGTGTTTCCTGCTGCAGTCCATCAGTCCATTGCCTGTGGGGTCCACATGGCTGCAGGCCACACGGGAAAATGCGAGAGAACCAAGAGAGAGCACCCCAAGCAACATGAGCAACAGAAGCCATGATTACAAACTCCTTTTTTTTAGGGGATTATGTATTCCCAAAGTTTCTTGCCCTTGCAGTGGCCATGCCCATTCTGGCCAACCATCTCTGTCCCCAGGTGTGATTGACAGAAAAGTACCTTCCCTATGTCACCCCAACTTTACTGGGCATATATCTATCTTCCCTCTGTTGGATCCCTTCCCTCCCTGGGAAGTGCAAAGTTGCCGCTTCCTGGTTAAGCTGCCCCAATGGCATGCCCATAATGTCTGGCTTCCCTTTGTTTCTTCTCTAGCTATACTAATAAAAGGGTAATATGCTAATTAGACCAGACATCTTCTGGACATCCTTCTGGAAAAAGCCATGGAGGGGGAGAGGGGGCGGCGAGGCAGAGGCAGTTAGGGACGACCAGGCCAGCTGGGGAGGGCAGTTGGGGACAACTAGGCTGGCAGGGGAGGGCAGTTAGGGGCAACCAGGCAGGCAGATAGGTGAGCAGTTAGGAGCCAGGTG